CAGCCAACCCTACCTTGCAAGAAGGCATCCAAGTCACTCCTTCATCCTTTCCTCAATGCCCACCATCATTAAGAGATTTCAAATCTCTGCCTCGTTTTGAAAGCAGCCAATTGCCACTCATCCATCAGCCCTTGCCACCAGCCGATTCGGTGCAGGGGACAGAGAGAGGTGGGAAAGAGGTTGGGGATACACCCATGATGATCATCTGACCTGGGCTGACTGTGGCAGTGCAGCAACACAGCAGTGCTGAAGCAGCCACAAATTTCACAAATTTCAATCCCATGGGAGTAATGGGTCCTGGATTTTGGATGCATTCTGTAAGTTAGCCCATTTGAGATACCTTGGTTCAAAAATTGTTGCCCTATGATGCACCGTTCACCCAGTTGAAGGTTATAGACATGAGAGTTTTAGTAGTATATATATATCTGAGAAATATATTATTAAAAATTGCTCTGAAAAAAGGCAGTGATTGAACAGTCTTGTTGAAAAGATAAACTCTTATTATATTAAGCTAATATGAAGTATACTTTACATTAAAGTATATTATATTAAGCTAATGTAAAGTATAGCATACTGTTCCATGTATAAGAAATGCCTTTGGTCAGTCTAACAAAGAATTAACCTCTGTTTGTTCATGAAATGCTAACTGATTGCTCGGGACAAGACCTGACCACTGGGAAGGAGGCAGAACTGAAGATCACAGGAAAAATTCTTTGTTGGTTGTCTGGAACTCTGAACAGGTTCATCCCATTGTAGCAACATCATTAAATATAATTGACCAGGTCATCAGAACAGTTTTCACTGTTTGTATAGCAAATAGTTTTAGAATCAAAACTAATTTTGCTTAATGAAATACTCTGTATTTTTCTTTGAGCAACAGCATTTGTTTAAGTAAAAAGAGATTTTTGTTTTATTTTAATTGTATCTGTGCAGTATATTATAAGGCAACCCTGTACTAAAGAATCTCTGTCAAGAATGCCTTATTTTGGATTTCTGCATGGATAAGAATGTGGACTTAATAGCCTGAATGGCCACTTCCAACTCTAGGCTTCTATTTATTAAGAAAGAATTCATACTTATTTCAATAGGTCTTAATCCCAGGTAATTAGTTACACAATTGCAGGTTGAGTCACCTACTGAATCTATGTCATGCCATTTTTTTTACTACAAGCATTTAACCATATTAAACATACGGACTACCAGAATTCTAAAGGAAATGGAACAACTGCAGAATAAATGGTGCAAAGACGAACAGCCAGTATATTTACTGCTAAAATGATTTTGGACTGGTATTTATTCTGTAAAGCATTCTGAAATTTGAATACTCTTGACTTAAGGGCTACTCTAACATAGTCCAGGAACAGTTCTGAAATTCTTATGAAGTTGATATAAAAGATACTGTATATATTATACATTTCTAGAGAGCATCCTATACTTCAGTAAGAGGTCATCTGCAAAACCTAGAAGTTATTTTTTTAGTCCTATCTTAGTTGTATTCTGTAGATTTAGAAATGACATGGACATCCACACACAGTAACTGCTCACAGAATTTACCTAATTTGTGTTACTTCAAGTGGATCTAAACATGGCATCCATATAAAATCCTCCAGCATGCTACTCTGAACATGCATTATCTTGCTTCCAAAAGGGTATTAAGCATTTTAAAAAATTTCTCATGATACTGGTTTTATTTTATTTGTTTGTTTGCCCAAAACATCTCTTAGAATCAATCCTACAGTATCACATATGACACAGAAAATGTTGCAATCTCACAACATCCTAAAATAGACCAGCAGAGAGTCAGGACCAGAAGGTTGTAGTTAATGACCAGAAGGTTGCATTAATTGTGACTGAAAAGCTTGGTGCTAGTCTCCGATCCTTTAGGTGGATTCACTTCAGTCTCAAGCTGCTGAATTTCCACAATTAATATTTTCTCTGCTTCAGAATCACTAAACAGCGTTCTATTCTGATACATGATTATTTATATAGCTTTAAGCCCAGGAAAACTATAATGCAATAATATATAAATCTAAATAAGTAGAAAAGATGGAGTCTCCCTTATCTGATTTTAAAACAACTACAGTATATTAACAGAAATGAATCTATAAAATCAGGATACTAAATCAAAGTGAAGTTTTGTGAGGGAAACTACATGGGGCCAAGAAATATGAAATATAATTTGTTATAAGAGTTTCACATACTGAGTGTCTGCATCCTTTCTGTTGCAAAGATACTATTGAAACAACAGAGGCACTGTTTAAATAAATACAATATTTGTCAAAAAGATTATTTTATTATCTATTATGGAAAGAAGAGAAAACAGGATTATAAATAAAAAGATGGTGACACATGCAGACTATTTTAGCCAAGTATAAATTAACAAGCTCTTGCTGATTATTTTGGTGTATAACATCAGCTTGCCTACAAGATATTTGAATAAAATGAAAAATGAAAAATGCATAATTGATTATAAGACTAGAACATGAGCTAATAGTGAAGAGACCAAATAGATAGGAAAAGATAGAATGTAAAAATATAGGGGGCCATCATCAAACATGTCTCCTACAGACAATCAACTAAAATATATTTTAGTTAATTTTAATGGGCCTCATGAAGGAGATGTTCCTTTTGAACAGAACTATAGGACTAGAACAGAGGTAAACACTGTCTAGTCCAAATTGGAACATTTTTATTTACGAATATGAGTCAATTTGAGCCTTACTTTAATACTATATTTCTCTCTCATTCTCTCTCTCTCAATAAATAGAAGGAGCATGGAAGTAGTATGTAGTAATTGAGTAGCTGATGATAACAGTTGTTACATATCATTGATATCTAAAGTACAACCATGTGAAGAAGTTAATCTTAAATGCTACATTAGGCTACCTTATGTATTTATACATATACTTAAAGTTAGAAACTCTACTTGCCTTTCTAATATTGTACTTATGTCATGGAGACTCTGTGTGTGTGTATGTGTATATGTGTGTGTGCGAGAGAGAGATCTTCAAAGGTCTTTTTGTCCATCTGCATTAGGTAATCAGTATTCCTTCTTTTAACAATTCAACTAGTCCTGTAGAATCTTTCCTTAAAAATACTAGATTGAATAAAAGAAAGTAAAATTTAGCTCTAAGATTGTCCATATAATTGGCAACTAGGTGGGAGCTAACCTTGGATCACCTTAAAACAATTACAGAATTAGAGCTGGCTAATATATGAATGGGAGATTACCAGGACTATAGCTCGGTTGGGACAAAAAGACATCTAAGAAGAAGGAAATAATCAAACCACTTCAGGACTGTTGCCCACATGATGTATCCATTAAATCATCAGCTGAGCTTGATTCAAAGGATATTTTACCTTTACCTTTGTCAATATGACTAAGGTATGACAATATGATAAAACATAGTTTTATATTATATAGCTATATATATGTTATTATTATTGCTTGTTATCCACCCAATAACTCAAACTCTGGCAAATTATGTATTATTTAAAAAATTAAAGAAAAGCAAAAGAATAGTTTTAAAAAAGAATGATATATGTGCAATGTAAAAATTAATGTAATATTTATATATATTCATAGTGTTATATTTTTGTTGTTTTAGCAGCAAAATGTATTTACATATTTTCACACACAGCATACATGCATGTAAAATTCACCTCACCTTCCTTCCATTATAAAGCATAATAAAAGACTATCCTTCTCAGGACTGACCAATCAAAATGTGTTTAGCTTTAGAAAAAGAGCTTGCGTTACCTCTTGAACCAAAGATAAGATGAGATACCTCCTGCATCTCAGACCAGTCACAGCATTTCAAAAAGACTTGGTCAAATGCAGCTGCTATGTGGAAAAATAAATAAATTGATATTATCAATAAGCTAAGGAATTTAGAGTCATGAAAGGATCTCCTATTTTTTATTAAGCAATCTGATGATCCGTAGTAAAACTATCTGATACTGCCACTCAACAAGATGCTACCCTAGTTAAAATCTGAACATTAAGACAAGATCCAACATAGTTCAAATCATACATTTGTCAGGTAAAGCTTATATTAGTAAGGTGCAGAACTTTCAAGTGAAACAAAACTTTTGGTCCTATTTGAATGAGAGTTGTACAGTTTCAAAGCTCCTCATCTCAACTGCAGTAGTTCTGCAAGATTATCTGAGCCATTTTGATTACATCCAATAATGTCCACTTGCTGCCAAAGAGGTCTTTATTCCAGCAGAAGCTTCTATTAGTGAAACAGGCAAAGTGGTTATTTTATCTCCATTTTATTTCCCTTGTAGAATTCTCCATCCTGTTTGGAAGGCTTGCCCAACCATCTGGAACATATGGATGTATGGGGGGGTAGGATTAGGCAAAGACTACCTCTCTCCCTATTCCATTGAAAGAAGACTGAACCTGATTAAGGTTATGGCATCCATAGCTCGCTCTTTGAAACTAGTGCAGCAAACATTCTTTGTATTCAATTTTTTAAAGAACATTCATTAATAAAAGCAAACACAAAATGATATCAAACCAGATTTCTCAAACTGTACCAAAGCAGACCTTCTCAAAGCAAGCTAATAGTAACAATCAGCAGATACACTACCCATTCTTGTTCTCAGCCTAAGCATGTGCAAACTGATAAAATTGGAGAGCACATTCTGCTTTAAGGCCCTTGCAGAATGGTCCCTAGTGAAATAATATACAATATTCACATGGATAATTTGCAGCACAAAACATAGGATAGCCAATTTTTTGTGCTTCCTTCAGCCCAGTTTAAATGTATGGGAGGAAATGGAGAGATTAGGTTACTGTTATTATCCTCCTATAGTGACATTAGATTATGAAATATGAAGCCAGATGAGGAGATTATTATTTAAAGTTACATTTATGCAAAAAAAAAATTAACTATGATAACATTATAGCTAAATAAAATTCAAAAGAAGGTTTTAATAATCACTTAATAATCACTTTAATAATCACTTAAGGTATTTTTTTTTTCACTTAACAGTAAAGAGGAAACATTGGCAACAGCTGATGAAGACATTTGGCATAATCCCAGAATCTCAGGTAGAAAACCTCAGTCAATTCATCCTTCTGTAATGCATGTTATTATTTTCTAAGTAACAAAACATCCTGATGGATATTATTCAATTGTTTTGATTAACTCTTTAGCCTCAGACATCCCCCAAATCCTTTATTCGCATGTGGATGACAATGAAATTAAACACAGAAAAGAAAATGAAGAAGAAAAAAACGTTGACCGTAATGAAGATGACAATGAAAATGAGAAAGAATTGGAGTTGCTGGTAAGCTTCCAGAATTTTACAGAGCAATCTCAAGAAAGAAACTGTTGTGTACTTTAAAGTACTTTACTCTAAAACTGGTTCAGCTGTATGTCAGAATGCTAGAAGTAGAATTAAACAGCATTCTCTGTTCTTTCTTTCTTTTTTTAAATAAACAAATATTCCTTCCCATTGCAAGCCATGCATATTTATTTAGACCAACTAAACTGGCTGATAAAAAATTCCCAGAGGAGAAGTGAGAAAGGTGGTGGGGCATAGAATTCTTCTTCTTATTCCCTCTCCTCCCACCCTATCTCTCTGGCCTCCTACTGACCAACCATTCTGTGGACATTTTGAGGTTGGACACAACTTTTTATTGAGTTTTCCAAGCATAAAATTCAAAAACCAGTGGTGAAATATCAGCAGGGATTTGATGTTGGATTCCCCAGACAGACTATTCTGTCTATGATCTCAGGCTATGTATCCTGGTATGTTTCCTCAGCAACCAAAGGACTGCATTCTTCTAATTGAGGGAGGTTGAGGTATGGTAGCTCACAGTGCATGAATCCCACACAGCTCTGAAATTTTGGGGAAGAAGCAGAAATCACATCACTGAATTTTAATAACAAACTTTTCAGTAATTTTTCTTCAAAGAACAAATGATAATTATTTACATTTAACTTGTCAAGAATGCTATCACCAATCTCCATACCTCCAGACTTCAGCCCTCATTCTTGGAAATCATGGGCTTGTCTGCTTTGATGACACATCAAAGTACTGCCTTGTCTATTGTGGTACTTAATTACCCAAAATATTTTTTAAAAGAAAAAACAGTTTCTGGTCAGCAAAACATTGCTCACTTGACAATATTATTATATATTCCACAAGAGGAAGATCTTTCTCTCCTTCAACCATGGTGATAGGTACTACATAATTTGCCAATGCTATGTTAGTATCAGAGTTTCAATTACATATTTAGTATGATTAAAAGATGTAGGATGTTTTGAAACCGTTTATTTTGTTCTCTTTCATTTAACAACTTATTTCTCTTTTTTCATCACAGGATATAAGGGACAATTTGAAAGCAATAGAAGAATTATAACTCAAATTCTTGTTTTTCTGATCTCTATGATCATATTTTTCCAATTTTTTAAAATTCTACAGTTAGGAAGCCATGCATAGGCTATAATTGCTCATCAGAGCAATAGCAATGATATTGGGAGTGAATCCTTTTAGCATTTGATAACTGGATAAGATAAATTTTACTATGGCCCCTGCTCCATACCATTGATTAAGAAAAAAATGTTGCTCCCTCTCCAGAAGTTTTGGTTCTGAAGAGATTAATAGCAGGGAAGATATGTTATTATTTTTAAGCTCAAAAATTGCACCTGACGATGGATACTACCTTCCAGATGCAAAACACACATTCCTCACCTTGACTAAATCCCAATGATTTTATAAAGAAATATATTCATATTAAACAATATTTTTATCCTCAATGCCACTTATGGTGAACACTGTATTGTGTGAATTTTATTAAATGGGTTATCCTGCATTTTATGAGAAGAAAAAACATAGCATAGTTATGTACACAACTAAATAGCAGGAAATATAATGGTGTTTGCTTGTGAAAATATAAAATCTGAAACACACAAAGGGACATGCTAAACATTAGCACCACACAGCCATTTTGGGTAGTGAGTAAGACAATTCTTCACACAGAAGCCCAAAGCTATCTTAGCTCTAACTTTAGGAGAGTTCAAAGTTGTCATTCAGAATGGAGCTTTTACTGCCTGAATAATCAGCATCAAAGTATTATTATTTTTTATTAAGAAGAGAGAAGCTATGAAAAGTCGTAGTGTTCCCCAATACAAAAAGATTTAAATGTATGGTTTAAAAAAACATACAAGTGATCATCTGTACAATAATTGAGAAGTATATATGTGTGCTATTCAGGTTTTAATTTATTTTATGTGGTGTATAATGAATTAAACAATAGAGGTCTATAATAAATGGAAATGCAACCAAATCTTTGAAACCCATAGGCAATGGCTCACAAGACAGCTCAGCCGTTGACAAGTAACATCAGCCTTATGTGAGAAGGGGAAATCGTAAGATTTGCATATAATTATTGAAATCATGCAAATGTCAGTTATAAGGAGGGAGATTGGGGGGAAAAGAAACAGGCATCTCACTATTAAATCCTGACAGTTGGCATCACTGAAAAGCTCAGATACATTTGAGCACTAGTTGGCAGAGGGTCATTAAAACAGAATTTGCAGAAACATTAGTTCCTTCACTTTTCTTTGAGTGACGTTTTACTATTAATAGTTTGCAGAGGCTTTGCAGAAAACATATTAATAAGAGACACTGTAATAGGGGTATCTGCAGCAAGTGTAAATGTAATAAGGGGGTATCCAAGAAGCTACCTTCTAATTGATTGGTATGGAACCATCCGTCTGAGCATTTGAAAGCAAGGGAAGAATGCCATAAGGAGCAAATGCTGTTGAATAATATAATTTAATATTGGGGCAATACTGAAGAAACTTATTTGTGGCCTTTTCTAACTCTCAGTTTCTGGAGTTTCTAAAACATTCCTGTCTGAGGGGTCCTGGGCGAAATGAGGCAAACATAATCCTTATAGTATTTGTCAGTGTGCAAATGTGTCTTTATTTTACTGGACAATCCTGTACATTCTTTAGCTTTGATGTACTGTGTCACTGCACTCACTTTAAAATAAAGCATGCCTAGAATGGAATGTGCTCTGTGAATGAATTAGCTTGTCTTGTACAGAATATTCTCTTCAGGATTCATTTCTATGAAACAGACCTGAAACTCATGAATAAACAGGGTAAGATGGGGAGGGACATAAAAAAGAAAGGTGGAGAACTGAGATATATTTTATTTCTTGCTTTTTACACAGTCTAATGTTGCCCTTTGTGGCTGTGTGTGCATGCCCATGTGTTTAAAATGCAATATTCATTTTGTAAACAGCTTGGAAATGTGTTTTCTGAAAGCAGTTTTTACTGGAAAAAAGATCTTTCCTGAATTAAACCCATTTTCATGTGTGTATGTGTGTGTATGTGTGTGTGTGCATATAGTCTCGTCACACACACATTCACACACATTCTCACTCTTTTTTTTTATTCTATTGTTTCAGCTAAGTCAGCACTTCACTAGAAGCAGAGGTTCTTCAACGAATGAAAGGAGTTCATATGCAACTGAGCCAGTTAGATTTCCAAATGAACCACAAGAACTGGGGGACAAGCTAGACTCTGGCTTGCTTAGACAACCTCTGCCTATAAGCTCTTCATCAGAACATGCTTTACAAGACAAAGAACTGCAGAATAACCAAACATATTCCATTGGAAATGATAGGCAGTTATTATTCCCAGAAAAATGCACTGAGGTTGACTCAGTAAACAAAAGTGCACAGTCCTCAGAGGGTTTCAATCCAAACGAAACCTATTTCTCACCAGAGAATTGGTCTGAAACCAAGGAAAATCAGATTGCCCATATTTCAGATATTGTCTCAAGCAATTGTGGAATGCATCTTGCAAACGTTCCAAATGATGAATCTAATAATGCCCCAAGAAGTAAAACAACAGAGAGATTATTCATAGGTGAGGATGATTATAACTTCAAAAAAGTAAGGGAGACAATTTCCTCAGAAGATGATGAAGCAGGGAAGTTAAAAGAAAATGCATTGAAAAGAAAGGATAATAATGCCAAGACAGTTCAGGAGCAACCTATGCAGGAAATAGCTTCCCAAACTCCAGAGTCAAATTCAGAAAACGTCATCAGACGTGAACCCAAAAGAGAGGAGGTTGTAAGCAAAAGCCAAGTGTGTGTAAACAGAGGTTTAAATAGTGATACTGTAGTTGATGCTGATGTCACAGAAAATTATTTTGTAAGCCCTCATTCAGAAGACATTGTAGAAGAAGAATATAAGTCTGAATATAATGTTGATAAGGAGAAAGAAATCATGTTGAAAATTTTAGAGAAATCTCCAGAAAAACGAATATGTTCTAACAGAAAACATGTTATATGTGACAATTATGAAAGCCACAGGATAGATAAGTCACCTCAAAGAGAAAAAGTAATGACTTCCAGTATCCTAGAAGAGCAGATACCTAAATCAATAGGGCTACCATATCTAAGCGATAGTGGAGACTCAGATGAAAATAAATCAGAAAGCAAAAGTTCCATTATAGATGAATCAAGTCATGACTCGAAAAGGACAAAAGTTAAAATCCCTGAGAACATTCATAATACAAGCAGGCTTTGGGAAAGTCAACCTCATGTTGTACCACCAACTGATGACAGTATCCTTATGCAATCTACACCAGTAAACACAAAGGAAATGTCGGATACCAGAAGCAACTTAGAAAAAAGGAAGTACAGTCAGAGCGATGACCCAGCAAACAGAAACATTTTAGAGACAGAATCCTGCCAAAGTGAACATGACAGGGTTATTCTTAAAGATCAGAGCACCTGGGACAGATCAGTGATTCAAAGGTGGAGTGGTTCAAACAGTCAGTTGGCAGAAAGGCAAAGTGAAGCAAATAAAACAGTGCAGATGAAGGAACTAACAGGTGGTGAAGCCATGGGGGGTATTAGCAATAATACAAGATGCTTGAAAGTAAGTCCCACAGATGAATTGTTTACCTGCCAAGACGCACTAAGATATGAGGAGACTTCAGTCAGTAGACAAGATAGTACAGGGGAAGCAGAGGCAGTTACAGCTGCTTATATAATTAAAATGACATCAGAAAGTATTCCTGAAAAAATGTCTGCTGGTGAAAAAGCAGTAATTGTTAAGCTACCCCAAGAGACTGCACTAAGTGACAGGCCCACAGAGAAAGAGGAAACTGTGTTTGATATACATGAAGGAAGAAATGATGGGTCACATTATCCTCTTTGTCAATGCAATAGAGAGGGTGTATTATATGACACCAAATTTGGAAAGGAGTCTGCTTCAAATATTAATAATATGCACACACATGGAATGGCACATATGGAAATGATTTCAACACATGCTACAAACGAAATACTTGCCAAAGCAGAACATAATTCCGTAAATAATTCACCATCCACTGAAATATTATGGCCTTTTTTGGCAGAAGGAAACACTGTTTCTGAGCAAGGTGTACATTCTGAAGTACCATTGAAACATTCAGAACATTCTTCACAAGGGTTACACAATGAAGAAGCTGAAGAGGGAAGCATCTGGAGATCATTTCCTGACATAGCTCCCAAAAATGAACCAAAAATATCCAGTTTTGATAAAAATATGGTGGGAAGCTGTTATGAAAGCTCCATAGTGATATCTCCCAAAGGATTTATAGATGCTCACACTGCTGAGATAGAAAAGGTGTTGCCTCACCACACGGATGCTTCAACTGAAATTGCAGCTCGATCTGAATGCAACTTCAACCCAGCAGGTGAAATAACTCATGTTATTCCAAATATCACTAAACCTCAAGAATTTCCTACTAGTGAGGACAGAGAAGGAGACATAGGCCAGTTTTCCCATCAAACAGAGTTCAGTCCAGAAAAACAAATAGGGCCCACAATTTTAATTAGGGAACTGACTGATGAAAGAGAAGAGACAAGCTTAGATTTAGAAGGTTTAATAACTGAAGAAAAAATGAATGTTGTCGGACATGATGGCCAGCAAAATAAAGCTTGTAATTTACCTGCTGAGTGTCTTGTGTTAAAGCACATTGCTTACAAGATACTTTATTTTCTTTTGTTCATTGTATTTTGTGTAACATTGTATCACTATGATTTAATTGTTTGCTTTGTACTCTACTTATTTTCATTGTACTGGCTATATTGTGAGGGTAGGAGAAACAAAAAGTCTGTCAAAAAGGAATAGTATAAATAACCCACATCGTATTTAAAATTTAATATCTGAATGTCCCAAAGGGCAACAATGTCTACTCTTAAAACCAAGATAAGACTGCTCTCCTCTTTTCAAATATTGCTTTAAAAAGTGCACGTGGCATTTCTTCATATATGCAACCCTTCTGCATAGGACCATTCTGCTTGGAACTTTAAATACCTATATGAATCAGAGATCTACAGCACATCAAGTTACATTAAGTCTAGCTGCTGTTTCTTATCCCATTATGAAGGTGTGAAGCTTCAGTCTGTTCGGATTTGATCATATTCATTTATTTTGTAGTATAGCTTCATTTTCTGCGAATTTTAAGCAAATATAAATATATTTAGCAATATAAATAAATATTTAAATTTTAAAAAAGAAGGAACTCGTTAATAGGGCATGTTAAATCAAGAGTTTCCTTTGCTGACAAGGTGGCAATTAACACTAACATGGAAGGATGAGAAGAAGCACTCCCATTCCTCTTCAACATATGTTGCTTAAGAGTTTTGCACACCATTCCTTTATATGGACTATGCCACCTGGTTTTTCTATTCTGCCATGTGAAGACATTTGATTTTTAAGAATCTGGTGAGCTAAATCCAAGCCCTCTTTCCTATTCAAACTCTGTTATTTGACCATATTCTTAAAGTATTGACACCAATCATGGCCATAATACACTGAAAATTTGATTTGTGCATGAACCACTGCAATCAACGGGAGATAAAAACAAAAAACAACACAACACAAGGACTGTACTTCACTTACTAAATCTATTAAATCTTACACTCCATCATCCTCAATCTGGCTCCTTCCAAATGTACTGAAATTGCAGATTCTTAGCTAATATGACCAAAGGCTGGCTAAGAATTCTACAAAGTACCACGTTGGAAAAGGCTGATCTGCTTCTCTAATTAACTTGGAGATGTGGGTGGAAGAACTCTGATATAGGTTACATCGTCTGCTTTTTTTCAAGGTAATGAGTTATATAGTATTAATATCAGCACACTCTCAGCTATAGACTGCAAAGTCATTATGATGTATGTGTAAAAAAATATAAAATTAAGCAAGAAAACCAGCCTCTCATTGTTATCACAGAGCTAATACAAACTGATATACACTAAAAGTTACAAACTGGAGCCTAGCTGGTTTCAGATGTTTATATTTTTGTAAATGAAGACTGTGTGATTTTCTTTTCTTTTTTTTTTTTTTAGCATTATTCCAGTTGGTTGTTTTGAATCCTATTATTTAGACTATGTTGCATAGAAAAAGCAATCCCAATGAATTTTGAATAATACTAATAAAGTTTGAATGTTTTGGTTGTATGTCGAATATTTCAAATTCCCAAATGAAAATAAAGAAATGTAACAATTGTTCTATATTCTATACAGCTATTGAAGATTAATTTTGATCCATACTGGCAGTTTGGATCTCCCAGGTGATGAAGAATGTTCAGATTCATAGCTCCCATTTACTATTTTTTAAAATTAATTTCTAATCATCTAGTAACCTTGATTTTTTGAAGTCATAAAGTAATGGAAACAGAAGGAAAATAATGTTGTGATCCTTTATCTCTACAATCTATAAGGAAAATAAGCTGCAGCATCTGCAGTACAACACTCCTAATGTTTATTCTGTAGTTAAGTTTCCGTGTGTACAGTAAAGCTTATCTCCTATTAAGGATGCAGCTTTATGTAATCTTGGGAAAAATGTCCTAACTGCAAATTATTCAGAGTCAAACCATCACTTTAGATTATTCCTATAAACTAGAAGTTCCTGAAATCAATGTAGAAAAGCTTAGCTAGAAGACATTGTGCTATACAGTGAGGCAGAGATGGAATATATATGTGGCGTCTTCATTGCCATGAAATACACTGTAAAATGGATTTTGACTCAAGTTTGGTTGAATTTGGCCCAAGGTTTTCTACATTGTCTCTCATATCATCTGCCCAGGCACTTGCTCTTCTAAATCTCAGAAAACTAAGAAGACCAAGCTTGGCATCTCACCATTCAAGATTTAAGGGTGTTTGTATCAGCTTCACAGATCGCCTCATTAGTCCATAGAACAACCAGATCTTTGATAGGATCATCAACTCTAGTAGCCAAGAAAGTTCCAGAGCATGCCTTGAGACAGAAATATAACATCACATCACATCACATCACATCATCACATCATCATATCACATCAGAATACATAATAAAAATAACAGGACCAGATGAAGCCTCCAACAATTCACTAGGATTTGCCAGCTGGAGTCCAACTCCAAGTGAGTTCAAGTGTCTTTATCCACTAAGTGCTTAGAACATTCCTCATAACAATTATGTAGATATTCCTGGGCTCATCTGTAAACAGCAGGAAACAAGTCACTTTAAACAGGGTTGCTGGACAGCTATCTGCAGATGCAATGTAGACAGAGTAACAAGAACATTTTGCCATTTGTATTACCACATTTTGCCATTTGTATTACCACAATGTAATCCTTGATATGGGCGCTTACATGTGCTCAGTAGGATTTGTTCTTCATCTTTCTCAGCAGTGCTCTAGGTATCTCCCTGGTCATTTCATTTGCCAGAGCACCTCAGAAAAGACAGGGAAATAGGAACAATCTGGTCCAGGGACACAGCCACCCTATTTTATCATTTCTAATGTTCGTTGATCATCTGTGAGCCTATTTTTTTTTTTTTTTGCAATAAATCAATTTATGCAGTTAATTTCTGAATCTTTAAATCTGAAAGGCTCCTATTTAATATGCCCAAATTTTCATCACTGGAGGTTAAAATAAATATTTAGACATTTGGGAAAAGTTAGTTTCAGCTAAATACAGGGGACTATAGTTTTTCTATCTCAAGTCTGCAATGATATTTCTTCAATTTAAGATCTTTAGTTGGTGTATCTTATGATGGCAAGTTATAAATCTTGACTTTTCCATGAATGCCAATTCTTTAACCATAACTTAAATAGTGAAAGAACTAAACTAGCCTCACTCTTTTATTTTTATTTTAAATAAACTAAATATTTACTGTTTAATTAATATGCTTTAATATGCTTTTATTTTTATCTGTAGTACAAACGCTCCCATACCAATAAGATTGAATAAAATATTGTGTTCCTATTATAGCACTGAAGAACTAATTTACTGCCCAATATAACCTCTCTTTTAAAATCACTGATCTATAATTAAGCTATGGCCAGCAGTAGTCCCTTCTCTCTACTAAAGTAAATGGGATAGTGTGCTAAGGCATGTCATAATACTGCCAATAGATACCCATCCCTGACTGGAAAGAAGACTTACTTTTAATTATATGAAGTATAAGAAGCAAGAGATGCCTTGACAGGCTGCCTGCATATTATGTGATCAATTACCCTTCACCTTTCTGTATTCCCGATACACTGAAATATCTTTATTTAGGGGAATTTGGCTTTGAGAGAGCTTTGAAGAAACAAAAAGAAGCAGAGTTTCAAATTTGGAAACATTAGCCCTGTGCAAAGCTTCCTTGCATGCACAGAATAGATGTAGGAATGAGACTTGGGAATTGTGCAGCCTACTCTGCATGTACAGAATTTTTTATTTGTACTTGCAGTATTTAGGGTCAGAGTCATCCACAACTCTGTGCAATAATAGATTTTGACAATATATGTGGGTTTTTTCCTAAATTTGTCTATCATTTTGAAATCTAAGGGGATATATATTTAAAAATTAATAATGTGAAATCTAAAGAGTCAGACATAGATCACAAGATGAAGGAGAGTAGAGGAGCATTGAGGGCTTCTACAAGGAGCACTGAGATGCTGCAAGAGAGACTAGCATGTGAGTATGTGCTAAAAGCCAAATTTAGGGAAGGCTCTTCCTTTCATGTGATAGCTCAAAACCATCTTGCCATTTCTGTCCTGCAGCTTTGACCTTTGCTTAAATCAAATGTTGAAATGCATTGTAAACTCCAAGAATCACCACAGGCTGTGTTACTAATTTGATAATGTGCACCCTGCTACAGAAAATAAGTGTTCAGACAAAATGGTGCATTTAGTTTAGAATTATTGAAGATCATATGGCTTAAAGTGCAAGAAATTCAACACTAGCAAATGCTGCCATGACCTTTCAGACTAGCTGATATGGCTGAATGACCACCTGCAGCTGTATGTCAAGGCATATGGGATGCACACACACAAGCAAGCACAGAATGCTGTAGAAGTCTGTCTCAAAACACAACAGATGCTTATGGGGTAACACTGTATGGCTTCAGAGCTTGCTTCTTCTCCTTGCTATCAATGCGCATTTTGTTTTCTACGTTCTAATCAACAGACTAACTTTATAGTTTTCTTTTTCAAATTAATCCCTAATATTTTGGGTTTTTTTTTTTCAAATTAATCCTTAATATTTTCATCTATTTCAAAGAGGCTGCATTCCATCCCCCCTCCCCCACATTTTATTTTTGATTTATGAGACATCTTCATAGGTACAACTTTCAGACAATAAATACAGCAAATGAAGTTTTTCTCTTGTCTTGAGACATACCAAAAGCCCCAGCCTCATCAGGCTTAAGAAATTACAAGTTACTGGATTCAATCTCAGTGAGTGTTTAAAGAAAATATATTATTACAATATAACTCTGAATGTCAAGAAACGTATTTTAATAGAAGTCAGAAAAAAATGGGTTGTGTTCTGTATCTAGCAGAATTAATAGCTATTGCTGGCTTTCTAGATTTCAATGCTCATTAAACAACTTTAGCTGTTCACCCTAAAAAAGTATTAGAAGTAAAACTGACAACAATAGCAAAGTTTTACCAGGTGGCAAACCCTAAAGACAATAAACGAACATCAAATGAAAAAGAAATAACAGCAAAAAAGGAACTGAAGTTGTAGATTACTCTTATTTGTTTTCTGTGACATGGTATATTTAGATAGCAAGAGAAAAACTTTTCAAGAGCTACTTTCAAATGACAAGATGTGCTTTCTGTCTAGAACAAACAAGAGTAATCTCACTTCTCTGAAAACCAATTCTTAGT